AACGTTTTATTGTATAGTAAGGTGTGGCACGTTGCGGCTGTTTTCCCAATTACAGGAACAGCGATCAATGGAATATTGAGAAGAGTATTTACCTTTCTGTGGGGATCGAGGTGTGATTGGTTAAAACGTGAGGTTGTTATGTTACCTGTACGTCGAGGAGGTTTAGGATTGTTGGACTTAAAGCGTAGGGTGAAATGTGTTTTTCTAAAGTGGGAGGTTTGGTGTGTGGGTGTGATGGCGGGAAATATGGACCAAGTATATACGAGGGTGCAAAAGTGGTATAGGGGAATGGAGTTAAGGGAATGTGAGATTGTACTACGAGCTTTGTTGATGGTAAAGGAACGGAGGAACATTCGCATAAGGGTTTTAAGTAGGTTACTAGGGGGTACGTGCGCAGCTCCAGTAGAAGGTTTGTTCCCCATGTACTCGTGGGAAAATATATGGCTCCGATTTAGCAAGTTGAAATTACGGCCTAGGGTGCGTGAAGTCATGTTTCGTTTTTTACATGGTATATTGCCGTCAGGGGCAATACTACGATCCAGAAGAGTCGTGGAGGGAGGCGGGTGTGGGTTTTGTGGTGGGGAAGACACGGCTTTTCACGTTGTCTATTTTTGCGAAGGTTTAGATGTCAGGAGTTGGTTGGGTAGGGTGGTACAGAGGGTGGGAGGCAGAGGAGTGCAGGTCCTGCGTGCGTTAAGTCTCGACATCGGTGGATTAGACCAGGACGTTGAACGGGCTTTAGATTATATTATCGTGGATTACATTTATATTTCGTGGGTAATGCGGGGAAAAGGGGTCAGTGAGGTGAGAAGGCGTGTCCTTGCAATAACGTTTTATCGTACAATGTGTAGGAATAGGGAATTGTATGGGAGGAGGTGGGATAAGGGTTTTTCGGACGGTTATAAAAGGCTCGCTCTTGAAACCCTTGTGAATCTGTGATAAATATACGGGCATGCCGAATAATTGTCGTGTAGGTCAGTGGGCAATAACTGGCTCGTCTTTTGGGGGGAAGGATGTGAGTTGCGTGAATATGAGTTTGGGCATGAATGTTTTTTAGTTGTTATGGATGTGTGGTTGTAGATTCAGGGGTTAGGGTTACTTATTGTACCTTTTGTGTACAAAATGACTGGGGTGCCTTTACATATTTGTTATGTTTTTGATGCTTCCTTTGTGTAAAGACTTGTTGTATTCTTGAGTCACTAGTTTTCTTAGTTTTGTTTTTGATTGTGTTATGGAGGTCCAGATATTTGGGTATATAAACGTGCATATATATGAATGTATGTGTATATGTATATATATATATATATATATATATATATATATATATATATATATATGTGTGTATATGTATATATATGTGTGTATATATATATATATATATATATATATATATATATATATATATATATATACTTGACGTGCTGTTGGAGTGTGAGCAAAGTAACATTTATGAAGGGATTCAGGGAAACCGGCAGGCCGGACTTGAGTCCTGGAGATGGGAAGTACAGTGCCTGCACTCTGAAGGAGGGGTGTTAATGTTGCAGTTTAAAAACTGTAGTGTAAAGCACCCTTCTGGCAAGACAGTGATGGAGTGAATGATGGTGAAAGTTTTTCTTTTTCGGGCCACCCTGCCTTGGTGGGAATCGGCCGGTGTGATAATAAAATAAAAATATATATATATATATAATGTGTGTATATATGTATATATGTATGTATATATGTATATATGTATATATGCATGTTTTGTCCCTTCCCTGTTACTGTTCAATCTAGTCTGTGAGTCACCTAAGTATTAAAGGGATATAACACGTGTACATTACCCTGAGTCGTCCAATTGTATCCTATAAATATGTAGCAACATTATGATTTTTGTTTGTGATTTAATCGTAGTTCATAGGTATCAAGATTGAACACTTATGGAATGGATGGAAATTGCTGACGATTAATATGATCGTCAATTTATATAATATTTATTATGTTAATGAATTTGTGTTAGAGTAAATCATTGAATTTGTGTCTAAGTTGGAATTTCTATAATCAATTGTATATTTTGTATGCAAATTACATAAACTATTGTTTAAACATCTATGTAACATGTTTGTATGATGTGCATGTAGGTTATAATGGGTTAAGTGGGGTTTCCACCAGTGTTATATTTGTTACGCAAACAGTTATATCTTTTGGTATTGTGTGTGTTTAGTGAAACGTTTGTATGCATTTTATGGTGTGTTTGTCGTATATATCTATACGTATTAGTTAAAGATTTTTTTCTGGTATTTATGGTGTGTACCTCGTTGTACTCTATAGATTATGTATGGTGATGCTATTTAATTTTTAAGCAGCCTTGTATTTATGATGTTTTAAATAAAAATAAAAAAAAAAAAACTTTTTTAAATATGCATCTAATGCTATCTTAGCAGATTAACGTATTAAACATCACGAACGTTAATCTCTAATGGATCAAAGCTTTTTGTCAAGAAGCATAAAAGCTCTCGCCGTTTTATGAAAAAAAAGGTTCGGTTCTGTTAAGGTAGACAAAAGCCTCAAGACGGGACCAGAGCCGGACAATATATCCCTATAACCGACCCAAATCCTCGCCAAGATGCTGCCATAATCCAAACCCTCTTCACCTAGTCAATGCGACCGAGGGTAAGGACGGTTGATTGATTGAGACCGAGCTCCAGGGATTGAACGTTGTCAGGGAACACTTACACGATACCTTCGTCGCTTGTGGGGGCCTAAGACTGTCACACCCGAAAGGCCATCAATGTCCCAGGATACTGGGAAAATATCCCTTTTTTTTTTTTAATCCTAAGATTCGGGAGGACCGTCTCTTCGTACCAGGAATGTTTCTGGGTCTTTGATAGTAGTGGCAGGCTGTGGTGGCCGGCTGGGCAAGACAGGCTTGGTTTACAAGTGAAATTAGTGTTTTCGTAATGTTTCCAAACCCATTTGGCTAGGCCCGTTAAACGCGAACTCGTTACAATTTCATATGTAAGAGCAAATGCATAATTGCAAATAGGTAATTAGAAATGAGCAAACATGCACACTTGCCATTGTCATATGCAGAAGTTCAATACTGTTGTTCGTTTCTTCATTCTCCTTCTAGAAGGCCCCGGGACGCCAGTGACCTGACCTCCCCTTCCTTGCACCGAGCTAGATTATCTCCCATTTCCCCAGCCGCTGAATGTCTCCTGTGTATTCAGCGACCTCCTCACCATTTATGTAATATTATTTAGGCTGGGTATTACTGTCATTTACAGCAAGTGTATAGAATAATAAATATACCCACATGTACTCAATCTACCACAATCACGTGTACTCATTCACTGTACTCGTAAGTACTCATCAACTGAACTAGTTAGTACTCGCGATTATTAAAAAAATCATGATTTTATATCATACATGGGCAGGCTTGCAACATGCACTTTTAACTGTCATTTTTTTAGTAATTGTAATTGACTATTGTCAACCTCATTGCTTAATTCCATCATAAAACTCGGGGGAAAGATGACTTAATAATAATAAAACACTTCAGAATGTTGTTAGGTAAGACACATATGCAACAGTTAGGTATCTTTATTTCGAAACGTTTCGCCTACACAGTAGGCTTCTTCAGTCGAGTACAGACTATGGAACAATACTCTTCTCCAGACTGAGGGACTGACCACCTCAAAACTTTAAGGGTGATGGACTGATTACATCGTCTTCAAGTCTCTTCTGCTTCTATCAACTTTTCTGTACTCGACTGAAGAAGCCTACTGTGTAGGCGAAACGTTTCGAAATAAAGATACCTAACTGTTGCATATGTGTCTTACCTAACAACCTGTCGGTATTTTATACCACTTCAGAATGTTACATAAATACCCAGACTGACGTGATTCTCACTTGTCATTGTCGAAAAATGATTTGAACATTAGTCAAATTTGAAGTGATTAAAAAAAAGAATATAATGCAAAATATCAAGTAATTGTATTAGTTTTACAAGTGTAATTTGTAAATCTGGAAGAGGTAATAAAAGATAAGTGCTACTCGTGTCTTCTGTAACTAGTGACTTTATTCACCTGGTTATTGTTGATATATAATAGAAAAGTTGAAAGTGACTAAAACATGTGTGCAACACTTTGGTGTTTTTATTGTCGTAAAGCGTCGCCTGCAAGAAAAATTCTTCAGCTAAATATAACACAGGAGACAGTAGTAGGTTTGACGTGATCACTCCGCCATCTTTGGTAGGTAAGTCCCTCGAGCCTCAACTTAGTTTGGCTTTTTACATTCTTATATGCAACGCTGTATGACCCTTGTGGGTTTAGCTTTCAGTTATGATTATAATTTACATTTTTAATTCTAATTACATTATGATACTAATGCAAAATAAATGCGATAGGAATTACGTTGTCAGTTTTCGTCTTTCATTCTTTATATACTAATTCCTCAGGTCTCTCACTCTTCAGGGTTTTTACTTTTACTCATTTTATCCTCCTTCTTTCATTTTCTGTCACATAGTTGCTGTTCTCGTCTTATTTGATCTCTCCCGTAGTTTCCTGTATTATTAAATTTGGTAACTGGGAGGTAATCAGGTATGATCCGAGAAAAGGCAGGGTAGCTCCAGTGCTTTGGACCAAGAGCGATTTAGGATGAATGCATTCCACCTGGAAGGAGTTTCTTCAGATGACTGACTACGAAACACCTATTGTTTACCCACTTAATCTCTCTCTCTCTCTCCCTCTCTCTCTCTCTCATATATACACTCACTTTCTCACACCTTATGTCTCTGGAAGGCATCTGGTTTCGTCTATCCTTGTCTAGGGGAATTAGGATCCCTTTCGAGAGGTTTTCTAACCCGTCCCTCCTGGTCTGACAGGCAGATCACGCGACAAATTAATACTAATACGAAAACTCTCCATCAGAGTGCCTGGAGAATTATTCACACTGACACTGAAGAAGGCTCAAATAAACACTGGAAAAAACACTATTTTTATTCAAAAAATATAATTGCTTATAGAAAAATGGTCATTATTTGGTATAAAGGTGTGACTAGGCTCAGAGGATGTACCTAGATGTAATTACTGTTCATTGTATGCATCTATTAAACCTTATATTTACGGGGGACCTTTCTAGGTTTAGCGCTTAGTTACGATTATATTTAGGGGGAAACGCTAAACCTGTAGGGGTGACTTAGGAAGAAGAAACAAATGCAGTATAAAGTAATCCCTTGACAATGATTCGGTTACATAGTGGATTTATTGAGTTCACAGATCTTTACTGACAATACTATATTATAATCATGGGCGAGCGCTAAACCCGTAGAATTATACAGCGCATGTGGGGGGGGGATGGAAGGTATTCAAGCTCAGTTCAGGGAACCGGAGCTCAGATCCAATTCCCTAGATCAAGAGCCCTTCACCAGCGTCACTGGCAGTTAAGGAACATATTATAACTACACTTTGTTTTTCCCGATTGAGTAATGGTTATTTGATTTGATCCAAGGTATCTGCAGTTTTTATGAATCAAGCGTCCTTCAGTCTTGACTGAAGTGACGGTAAACATACTTTGTTGTTCATATTTGCATATATTATCACTTCAGAACAACTACTGGACACTGCAACATGCTACTTATTTCCACTTGTTCTTTCTCTGATCTACTTAAATCTTAATTTTTTTTTTCAGTAATGCTGTCTGGTGTGACCCTCTCGGGTTTAGTGCCTGATTTATTATTTACATCTTTTATGACAATTTGAACGTGTCCAAGTTGAATCAATTGTTGCAAGACTTTTCTTGGTTATGATACGTGATTCATGTACTTTATTTTTGGTCGTCTTCTATTTGTACACTACATTACAACCTCCATCATTCACTAAGTCTATAAATGTGAGGTCATTAATCTGTAATATATTTGAGATGTATGACCCTTGTAGGTTTAGCGCTTCATTTATAACTAATATATTTAAACCGGAAAGTGTCTTGAGTGGGAGGATTAAGTTTTGATCCGGTCACGATTTCCAGTGTATTTAACATGGGTTATTATTATTATTATTATTATTATTATTATTATTATCACCATTATTATTATTATTATTATTATTATTATTATTATTAGGCATTTCTAAAAAAAATCAGAATTGCAAAAATAGAATTAATCAAATATTCCATGGATCCTGTATGGAACAGATGTGGGTTCCTGTGATTTTTTTTTTTGTAGGCCGTGTGGGCTATTATAACTTCATAAAACAAAAGATGCTAGAGTAAAAATAGGCTTAAAAAAGGTCTAAAGAATCACCTGTCGCCCAGGTTTTGTATCGTGAAATGTTGTTTAATTTTTCATGAAAGACAATGACAAGTTGTGCTGGATTTAGATGGAGACAAAACAGCCTCGGCTCGGTTTTCTTCATTCACTTACGGGCTCACAGTGTCGTCATCCTCCACCGGAATTAGTATTATACATCATTATATTCATGGGGGAGTGCTAAACCCGTAGGTAGTCGTGGGGAAAATTCAGGTTTGCTCCAAGAAAGGAGAGCATAGCATGCAACAGCTTCTAGATTATTATTATTATAATCAAGGGGGAAGCGCTAAACCCAGAGGATTATACAGCGCCTGGGGGGGGGGATGTGGAAGGCATTCAGGCTTAATTCGGGGAACTGGAGCACAAATCCAATTCCCTAAATCAAGAACAGCTTCTAGAGCGAGTGAGAAAAGTAATAGTGCCAGAGTCAATGATCATAATTTCATACATACAAATTATAAATAATTCGAAATTGTATTGAACAATATCTCGCACATAATAATCCGAATACAAACTGATTCACTCATTTCTCTAATTCATTAAATTATGTCTACATATTCCATGAAGTATAAATGTCCCGTGGACACAAAGGTCTTGATGCCTCCACACACGAGCATAAATGCCCTCATGTTAATTTTTTTTTTTTTGTAATAAACCTAATAACATCTACAACTATGTTTTATATATAAAGAAATATAGCATTTTAACAGCTTAGAGCTTAGTTTTCAAATTACCGTAAAGAAGACATTTTAAATATTAGTTGGCTGTCAAGGTTGATCAGTTTCCTTGAAATTTGTTGGTCAACAAATTACAAAGTTCGATCTATCTGCGCAAAGGAACTAAAATACAGTTAGTTAGGACGTCTCTCACGATAAACAGGAGGATCGAGCCTCCACCATTCCTTATGCTGATTATCATGAAAACTAAGCGTTATACCCACAAGGGTCAAACAGCGCTGTCCTCATGCTGAAGGACATCCGCGTTTCACGCTTTATAAAACTAGCAGCATATGTATACGTCGCCCCGAGTCGCCTATTTTTCTTAGGTCACGGCGCCGTATGACCTCGAAGTATATAGAAATCTAAAGTGATGGGTATAGAGATTGTAAACACAGCCCTGTGCCTGATTCTAAGTTTCTTGACCAGTTCAATAAGGTTGGTGATGCTCGAGGCTGGCAGGCATAAATTACCCTCACAATCTGGATCTTCAGGAAAGTGTATGTGGAAAATAGTTGTCCAGTTTCTATTTGAAACTAATTCGTCAAAAAAATATAATCTACAGAAATGCCCTAAGAGAGTGCGAATGTTAAAATACAATCCACTTCCACAATCCAAATGCTTTGAAAATGTCTTTGAACACTTAACGGTGGATTCTTGAATGCTTTAGATTTCGCGGAACACTTGTAAAGTGGATTTCATAAACTCGAGCACAATAAAATTGTTCTGCCCTTCAACACCCTTGAAACATTCATGTGTGGTCAACTAAACTAGACAAAGCTCTCCTGACGGGAGGAGTAGGTGAGGAAGGAGTCCAGGAGGCGAGGTTCCACCAGCTCAGCGGCGTCCATTCCTCGCAGCTCCTCTGACCCCAGTGACGACGCCATCTTCCTCAGGGCCGCCTGGGAAAGTACATAAGTTCCTGAATTACATGATGTTCCTACTTTTAATAAATTATCATTTAAAAATGTGCAGGAAACATTATGATCAAACATATTTCTTGAATACAATTTAAAACTGACAATGCTAGGACAATTCTATTGCAAAGAAAGATAAACCCGTGCGGGTTAAATAGCCGGGTAAAGGATTGGCTGGAGGTCAAGTTCTGGAGGAAGAATCGAGCCTCTATTACACCATTTTGAATAATTTTAATCAATGAATTTCTTTATCATTTTGTGACTGAAGTAATGAAGAAGCCTGGATGGCGGTGGAAATGAAAGGATTTTGAATTAGGATAATGGAAAGGAGACGAAGACTCACCAGGCAGGCAATTAGGACAGCATCACTGTGGTGGCGTTCCTGGTCGTCCTTACACAATTTCACCAGCCGCTCCGCCCCACCCAGCTCCAGTACCTGCTGGGCCACCGACGGATCCCGACAAAGTCTGCATACACGAGAATTATTATTATATAACCCTTACACCCATGAGGGTCATTCAGTGCATAGTGGTAGAAATTACACACACACACACACACACACACACACACACACACACACACACACACACACACACACACACACACACACACACACACACACACATATATATATATATATATATATATATATATATATATATATATATATATATATAAAATATATATATATATATGTCGTGCCGAATAGGCAGAACTTGCGATCTTGGCTTAAATAGCAACGCTCATCTTGCCATATAGGACAAGTGAATATTTGTGTATGATATAATTTCGCCAAAATCATTCTGAACCTAATTGTTTTACACGATGGTAGGATTGCTGGTGCCTTTTTTTTTTCTCTCGTACACATGCAAGATTTCAGGTACGTCTTGCTACTTCTACTTACACTTAGGTCATACATGTACAAGCATAATATACACACCCCTCTGGGTTTTCTTTTATTATCTTTCTAGTTCTTGTTCTTGTTTATTTCCTCTTACCTCCATGGGGAAGTGGAACAGAATTCTTCGTCCGTAAGCTATGCGTGTTGTTAGAGGCGACAAAAATGCCGGGAGCAAGGGGCTAGTAACCCCTTCTCCTGTATATATTACTAAATGTAAAAGGAGAAACTTTCGTTTTTCTTTTTGGGCCACCCCGCCTCGGTGGGATACGGTTGGTACGTTGAAAGATATATATATATATATATATATATATATATATATATATATATATATATATATATAACGATGGGGTCCAATTGCGGGACCAATAGCCTCGGGGAAGTGGATAAAAAGGCTTCAAGGAAGAATATTTGAATTTCTTCCTTTCCCCTACCACCCCATCTTTTCATTCTTTTTTTGCCAATAAATATATTTTATTACATTATATATATATATATATGTAATAAAATATATTTATTGGCAAAAAAAGAATGAAAAGATGGGGTGGTAGGGGAAAGGAAGAAATTCAAATATTCTTCCTTGAAGCCTTTTTATCCACTTCCCCGAGGCTATTGGTCCCATAATTTACACCAGAGGTGGACCCCATCGCTCTATATATATATATATATATATATATATATATATATATATATATATATATATATATATATATATATATATATATATATATATATATATATATGTCGTGCCGAATATGTAAAACTGGTCAATTAGCAAGAACTCATTTAAAATTAAGTCCTTTCTAAAATTTTCTCTTATACGTTTAAAGATATATTTTTTCATTAATGTTGATGTAAAAATTTATAATTTTGCACCAAAAGGAACTTAGAAAACTTACCTAACCTTATTATAACAAGCGCAATTTATTTTAGCCTAACCCAACTAAATATATTTTAGATTTGTTTACAATAATTTAATACTAAACAAACACAGTGAAATATATTTTTTTCGTTAGGTTCAGAATGATTTTGGCGAAATTATTGCATACACAAATTTTCACTTGTCCTATATGGCAAGATGAACGTTGCTATTTAAGCCAAGATCGCAAGTTCTGCCTATTCGGCACGACATATTATATATATATATATATATATATATATATATATATATATATATATATATATATAAATAATGAAAGATGACGGGCGTAGTACTCGTGGCGCAAGATTTCTATAGGAATCTTATGTATTCGAAATTACAATAATATAATTTATGTGTTAATTACCAATCTCGAAATTATGTGTTCGAATCACTCTCTGGCTAACATTCGTGAAATTGTTACAATGTTATTGATATGTAAAATATTGCCTATGCAGTAAATGCATCTGCCTAGTCCAGGGGTGGGGATATTTATATGTTGGAAGTTAACTGTAATCTAACAAGGCCGCATCCAAGAAATTTTGATTAGATATACTGCAAAATATCGGTTATTTTGTAAAATGCTAATTATATAATATCTTCAGGAAAAATAATTAATTCAGAAGGCCGCGCTAGAAGTGCTCTAGAACAGGGGTTGCAACCTCTTGAAGTGTGCGTGCCAAAGTCGGCCATATCTTTGATACAGAATCTCAGGAGACATATAGGGACTATTTCCCCGCTTTTGTTGGAACGAATACGTGATAAATGTTGCATTTTTTTTTTTTTGAGATGAGACCAGAGGTTAGCGTGCCGGAAAGAAGTTGCTGGTGTGCCAGGTTTGGCATGTGTGCTAAGGGTTGCCCACCCTGCCCTAGGTCACAGGTTCTTCAGCCCTGGTCTAGTCATTACCTTACCTGGAGTATACCTGGAGAGGATTTCGGGGGTCACCGCCCCCGTGGGTCGGTCTGAGACCAAGCCTCGTAGTAGATCAGGGTCTGATCTTAATATCAATATATTCTTCCAATTTTTAATTTAGAGCAAACATCTAAATAAACAATCATTTAAACGTTATTTACTGACTTCATTAAATTCCCATACAAGAGAGTAGTGGCAAATTATCTGTAAGACTAACATTTTTACCCCGAGGAGCTTTTATTTTAATAAGCAGCAACATTCTGGAGTCTTTTCATGTTTTGTGCCTCCAGGATTAACTCGGGTTTTCAACCCCGTCTCTAGATTTGTATTCTGAAGAAGTGGCTTTGTGGTCATAAGTCGCTTTACAGAAACCAGGTTTCTCCTGCCACTTGTACATGACTTATACCTGCCTAGCACCCTTATTGCTTTTCCAGTGGTGGTGAAGTTTCAGTGGTTTATACCTAGTGGTAGGGGCGCCGCTCACTGTGGGGCACCCCTCAGTGTGGGGCGCCCATCACTGTGGGGCGTCATTCTTCCCACAGAGAGCTTAAGAACATAGCAATTATTTTGACATAAATGATGGAGATATTTCCCCTTTTTATCTAGATTTTCTGACACATGAATGAATATTTATATGGACTGAAGAATGTGAAAACTAAGTAGTTTACCCACTTCAAGATTTATATACTAGGAGAGTGAACTGGTCACAACAGTAACAAGTTGTGAAGGATAGTGTAAATTTGATATTAAAACTGAATGTTTAATGCGATGCATAACCAAATGGTTCCAGTGGTTTGTAAATAAATAAAAATGCTAGCCACACGCACATACTGTACCCAACTCTCTGCCACCTTTACGGTTACTGCATCAGGATGAAAACCTTAGGGATAAAAACCTGATAAGGTCTCTGCAACCTTAACATATAAACTTTTAGTGGATCATAAAGGTACACAATGAGACGTCTGCAGGACGCTGCAGATTCTTCGAAAAAGTTAGAAGGATGAAAACATCAAAGTTATAGGCTCTGACCATGTCTCTTTTCCCCTCCACCTCCACGTGAGGTGAGACGTGTGCACAGCATCATATACGGGGCGAGGAGTGTGTCAGCCAACATGCAAAGAATGAAGCGAGTGTGTGTAAACACGTTACATACACACATTGCCCCATATAACATAAGATGTATCCAATTACTGAATATTAAAAGCATCCAACAGTCATTAAATGGTTAATATTAATGATACGACACGAAGTAAAGGGTGACAGATACATGCGGAATAGATAACAAGTTAGTCGTTCTAACTTGCATAAAACGCTGCATAGGATGCTGTACAAAGTAATAGAACACTTTATGATTTTCCATCGATAACTGCATAAAACAGCAGCATATGATAAAATAAAATGACCGAGCTTGTTAGATGGAATTTTCCAGAGACTGTGACCTTGCACGAAAGATCTAGTAGGGTTTTAGTGCAGCCTAATTGGTTATGTTATTATTTTTAAGAAGAGCTTAAGTCTTAGGGGGTCAAACAGTGTTTGGGGAATGGATGATATTAGATTTGATCCAAGTAAGGGGAGAATAACTGTAATTACTTGATCAAGAGCTCTTCACCAGTTTGAAGACATCCTCCTTGAAGGAGTGTGAGGCTAAAACTTGCAACTCGCAGATGCACAAAATAAATGTTAACTTCTGTCTCGGCTGTCATGTGAAGATAATCAGTAATGCTGCCCACATTCAGGGATGACTAGGCTAGACAGGAGGTGTCGTGATGCATGAGGTAACTCACCTGGAGAGGGTGATGGCAGACTTCTGCTGGATTCGCTCCGCAGCGGCCACTTCGGGGAGGCGGAGGGAGGGGGCTGGCCCGGTGTTGAGCAGAGCCAGCAGAACGGCCACGCCTCCACCCCTGACCACTTCTTCTGCTGCCTCTCGTGACCCCGCCAGGTTGGCCAATATCGTGGCGATCTGCAAACCATGAAGTACTTTTGTGACATGACTCTATATGGGTTCTCTTTATGTCGAGATTATACCATGGTGACTTTAGCTGCAAGAAACGTTAACACCATAACGTACAATAACTATTATCCCCAGTATCGCAATACAATATGGTAAATATAGAGATAGAGAGAATAAATACTCGTAATGTAGAGAAAGCTATTATTTTAGAGGTTTCGCTATAACCGAGCTCGTTAGTTTGTTGCTCCAGTCACCATGGAAATATTTCATGGAAGAGAACAACTAAAGTATCTCTTAGAACTAAGAAAGGCCAGACCTGATCTTTAGTGAAGATAGAGATGCTTGGGTTGTCGCGCTGAGCCTTGAGCAGAATACCAACAGTGCCAGCTGCTCTAATAGCACTCACACACGTGTCGTCCAGGAAGGAGAGGTTAGCCAGTGCCGCTGACGCCAGTAGGAAGACCTCCGGCGTCTGTGTGAACTCTGCAAGGTCTGCAAAGTTGATGAAAATTTTAAGTATATGTACACAAAAGATAAACCATTTTTATCTGTATAGCTACTACACTTCATTCTCAACTAAATTACTTGGCAGTGGTATATATTGAAAAGGACGTAGGAATCTTCATCAGCAAAAATTTCAAGGCAAATAAGCTCCTTTGATTCATCTCCATTAAGTATAAGAAACGAAAATAGACAGAGTCGAAACGTAGTAAATCAAAGACTCGTGGACACTGTAACCCGTCAAGAGAGATTCCTTGAAGCCGGTGTGGGGCTTTTGATTCAAGGAACTGGACCTATGTTTCCTTTCCGACGATCAAATCTGAATACCTTCCATCCCTCCCCCATAGGCTGCTATATGACCCCTACGGTTTAGCGCTACCCCATGAATGTAACAAAAAAATTATTATTATTATTATTACTATGCACACCGTAACCTTTAATAAAACCGTTTCACTCAATACCTAGTTCTTTATACAACTTGATAACAGCAAGTGTAGGTAAGTTATATGAAGAACTAGGAAAGTCTTCTTTACAAAGGACAACAGCCGAGTGCTAAGAAGGATGGATCAGGTGACAAGGTAGTACAAGCTAGTAGTATAAGGGACCACAAATGGTGACAGCTTTGTGGGCATGATTTTGACATGATTACGCAGATATAGAGAGATTATTTCTACCAAATCAGTCCGACATTGTGTATGTGACCGCGTGTAGGACAATAGGACGCTAACCCACAGCGAAGCCATCATCCTCCAGCCTTGTCTACACAACTTCCTGGTTAGACACTAAATACTCCATCCCAGTTCACAATTCTTTTGATGCCTTATGCAGTCTCGAGGAAGACTGTCTCGTTTATGATGTTGCTTCACATGTTTTCGACGAAGATATTTTTAGGGATGCAGTGGAACAAACCTATGATGACGACCTTCCTTGTTTGCACGTTAATTCCAATGCAACACTAGGTCCCTTTGTACAAGTATGTGTTCTAAATGCCCCCGTTCATGTATTCATAAACTCTGGTGCACAAGTCAATATTATCAGATCTAATTTGTTTAAGGATAAGCAGTTATGCTGTGTCCTCGTAGAACCAACTCATGTGTCCACTCTTAGTGGTGTGGCTGGTTCAAGCCTGCGTGTCCGAAGTCAGACTTCCCTCACCTTTTTTATTCAAGGTAGCGATTTTACTGTATCCTTCCTTGCTGTTGACCAGATTAGTTTCCCATGTGATCTTCTACTGGGATTTGCTTCCATGAGAGATTTATGCATTGTGCTTGATCCTTACCGATGGTATGACCAAATTGGCGACTTGATCGTACCATTTTGCGGCTACCAGCTTGGATCCGAGACCTGTCATACTGCTGCAGAGTACGAAGTTCGGAGTAAGTCTTTACAGACTTGTGCATTTTCTAGTAACGTGACCAGGTGGTCAGGTACTTGACAGCGATTCTTGCACGGTAAAGGGTTTGTTTGTCGAGCCATCATTACATATTGTACGAGATAATAAGATCGATTTCTTCCTTGCTAACACTGCCGGTCACAGTACTCGCCTCAGAGCAAACACCACCATTGTTGATCTTGTTCACTATCCTTACCCTGTTCATGTAGAGGATGATTTGTCACCTGACCAGTGGTCGGTGCTATTTCAACCGGGGAGAGCCCATCTACTCCACCAGTAGAGGAGAAAGACTTAGCTCCCACCGACTTCCCAAATGAGGTAAAGCATTTGTTGCATCTGTTGAACAAATGCCTTACCAGGGGTGAAGCTTTCATATCCTTTTACTCATGTACGAATTAATTGCTCTACCATATTGTACTACTACCACTTGTCACTACTACTACTACTACTACCACTAGTATTGCACCTCACTCTGAGCCTATATATATCCTCTGTGTTCATGTATTGTTTGTAATGGCTTGATAAAGCTCCTGGAGAGCGAAACGTTGCCACAATAAAATGTCACATTAGTTGCACTTGTGTCCTTTTACTTTACATACTAACTTACTGTTCAATCATATCTCACTTGAACCTGGTACCAGACCTATTTATGTACCTGCGTAAATAATGCCTCAGAATGCTGTCGCAGAAGAACTGATCAATAGGATGCTTGATGATGGTGTCATTGCACCTAGTAATTCACCCTGGAATGCACCCTTGATCCTAGTACCTGGTGCCGGTGATTTACTTTAGGAAGTCGAATGCAAAAACGATTCCAGATCGCTTCCCACTTCTTGTACGTGGTGACCTTTTACAAAATATTGGAGATAAATTCTTTTCGACCCTGGACTTGTTACAAGGGTTTTGGCAAGTACCTCTCCACGAGGACAGCCAAGAGCTAACTGCATTTTCACTCCTACAGGCCATTATCATTTCCTCAGAATGGCCTTCGGTTTATGCTCCCTGCGTATCACCTTCTCAAGGCTCATGACAAATATATTTAGAGGCCTCATAGTTAATGTACTCATGGTGTACTTAGATGATGTAACTGTCATGTCCGAAAACGTGGGGAGACCCCTGAAAAGACTTCATTTGATACTTGGTAAACTTGAAGAAGCTAATTTAAAGATCAAACTGTCTAAATACCAGTTATTCAGATCAGAGATCAAGTTTTTGGTCACGTAGTCACTCCTAGAGGGTTACGACTGACCAGAGTAAAGTAACCGCTGTACAAAATTTTTAATCTCCCAAAACTGCTAATGCCGTAAGATTCTTTGCGGGCATAGCAGGTTTTTATAGACCTTTCATTGCTAATTTTTCTTCTATAACAGCTCCTCTGAGTTACTTAAGAAAGTCGCTCCTTTCGTTTGGACCTTCCATCAAGAAAGAACATTCCAAACTCTCAAAGAAGAGCTAACATCTGCCCCTATTTTGAAATTCCCAGATTTTTCTAAGCCTTTCTGTCTAACAACTGATGCTAGGTGTCATCCTAGCTCAGAAGACTGATAGCAAGTACAAATCAGTTGCATTTGCTATTCGAGTCCTTACAAATGCTGAACATAATTATGCAGTAAATGAGCAAGAAGCCTTAGCAACAGTATGGTCTTTAAAGCACTTCCGAGACATTATGTCAGTACCTGTTCATGTCTTGACAGATAATGCTCCACTGATTTCTTTATTCGTGAATAAACAACCTACTGGAAGATTAGCCAGATGGTTATTGACTATCCAAGAGTTCAACCCAACCGTCGAACACTTGCCTGGCAAATCAAATGTAGTCGCAGATGCTTTACCGTGACATATTAGTATAGTAATAGCAGATCCTCCGTTTAGTGCTGAGGACATAAAGAATGCTCAAAGAACAGATCCCATGTGGTCTGGTGCGATTCGATTCCTGCTACAGAAGGATCATACTCTCTCAGTGAAGCTACCAGCGCCCATCAGTGACTGTCATGAACCAAGAGTTACTGGATCACACAGCCGAGCTGGGTACTCCTAACAGAAGGGTATACCAGTTAGTAATTCCACAGTCACTAGTGACTGTAGCCTTACAGCTAGTTCATGATGTACCAGGTGTTGCACACCTTAGTTTGGATCATTCTGTAAAACAAGCCAGACTGTAATATTTTGGCCTTGTATGGCAACTTATATTTCTGAGTATGTTAAGAAATGTAGCGTCTGCATGCAGCATAAATGTAATGTCAGTGGTCCTAATCCAATCCAGGTGTATCCCACTACTAGCGAACCTTGGGAAAGAGTTGCGCTAGATTTGTTAACTAATTCCCAATGTTCTCTCCAGGGCAACAGACATGTGTGTGTTATGGTAGACCATTTCACCAGATATTGTGAGTTAGTTCCTATTGCAGATAAGACTGCCGAGACAGTAGCTAAAGCATTTAAGGAACTTACAATCTGCAGGCATACAACTTCTAAGTCCCTAGTAAGAGATAATGGAGGTGAATTCTGTAATGTGATTTTTGAAGTTGTGTACTTTGTACAAGATCTTTAAATCGACCATTGTTCCTCACCATCCTGGTTTAGCGGAAAGAACTAATAAGAAAGTACTCGATGTGCTGAGAGCCACTATTAATCCCAAGAGTGCAAGCTGGGATGAAGTTATACCTGTTGTTCAGTGTGCCACAAATTCTACTTACAATGCTTCTATAGGTGACACTCCACATTATGCGTTGTATGGTGTAGATAAGCGCTTACCATATGAGTTGTTATATTCTGCTCAGAAACCAAAAAATACTATCATGATGATTTAATATCGACTCGTATCGGCTTAGCTCAAGGTGACTTCAGAAGAATCTGAGAAACACTTCATAAATCAACAGCAGAATTTACAGGAGTCACTAATACTCGAGCAAAGCCAAACAAAATTAAAGTAGGTTCGAGAGTTATGCTGACTAGCTTTAATAAAATATCCCCAATGCCTAAACTCGATCAAAATTTTGTTGGTCCATATCGAGCGGTCGAACATGTCAGTGGCAATAAGTATAAAGTTCAAGAAATCAGTCTTGGTCAGTACAACGAATCACATTTAGATCATATGAAGTTAATATGCAATGATGACAAGGTTCATGACATTCAGACAAATACAACAGGCTCTGAGAATCCTGACTTGGTACGCACTACCTTTAACAACCAGACAGAAGAACAACTAGATTGTCATTATTCCTCATATACACAACAAGTGATGAGGAATCCCCAAGTTTCACTTGTAAATACTAATCTAGATCTTCCTCAACCATGGCATGTGTTAGCCATTGCAACAGAATTTGACTCCCAAAGAGATGATGACCACTCTGCATATGTAAATCTCACCCTGGCAGAGTTGGGGTTAAATGTAAATAATCTCTAAAGATAGATAATAGTCTAAAGAGTATTTACACTGTGTGTCTGCTATGTAAACTTAATGATATTGATTTTTTTTTAAGTGTTCACGTTCTCTTCAAATTCTGAGATTTAACAGCAAAAACTTGTGTGCACCAAGTCTGCCTTTTCTGTTAAACACTTTCTTCTTTGTAAATATATTTCCTCAGAATCCATAGATCACATGAATACAGATCATTCTTCTCCTCTCTTAGTTGATCTCTCTCTTGTTAACCTGCACCACCACTAAGTCCATCATTTACAATTTGTTATACAGTATATCATAATTTGTTAAAGATTGAGACACTTATGCACCATACGGAAATCTTTATTTAGGAAACGTTTTGCCACACAGTGGTTTCATCAGTCCAATACAAAGCAGAAAGGTACAAGGAGAGGAGGAGATTGAGGTAATCAGTCCCTCAGCCTGGAGTCGATGTGTTCAGTCCATCAATCTTGTAGAATGTACAGCATAGGGCCATAGACGTGGGACTGATTACCTCAATCTCCTCCTCTCCTTGCACCTTTCTTTGTATTGAACTGATGAAGCCACTATGTGGCGAAACGTTTCCTAAATAAAGATTCCCATATGGTGCATGTGTCTCAATCTTCAACTTGACGGTTTTCAAAACCATTCATCACATTATAATTTGTAATGCATTACAATCATTTATCATCATCATGTATAGTTCTTTATGTTGAGCTGTTGTGTAAATTGATATTGTATAGAATCAGACCAGAGCCGTAATGCCTACAGTCTATAGTGTGTATAAGCTGTATGTCGGGACTCATACGTTAATATCGCCGAGTTGTCAGTAGTGCTACTGTGTACTGTCTAATATACTTAGATACATGCCAGTTACTTTATAGATAGGCTGCCTTGCTAGCTATGACGTCATGAGATCCTCACACTTGAGGCGTAAGCCAGAGGCCCCACTGTCAGTCGCTCTCGCCCCACTCGGTAGGCATAGACAAGATAGGCAGGCTCCTGGGCTTCTCTTTATACCCTTCCAAGGCATCTAATATGTTCTCCTGATGAACCCCCACGACACTTGAATTTGTATTGATAAAGCATCTAGGTATCGAAACATCTACAAATAAAGAAACCCAGATGTTGCACATGTATCTAATTCTTCATCTTGCCGGTAATGTATACCATTCATGTACAGAATGTAGTTACCTGTGAGGGCTTGGACGATGGTGCACATGTGGGTGTGGATGGCAGGGAGGCGGTGGGTGTTCTCCACCCACGGGGAGGTGATCTGCGCCAACACTCCGGCAGCCTCACTCCTCTCCTCCTCTGGACAGTCTTCATCGCACAGCACCTCCGCCACCACCTCCACACCTCCAGCCTGAGGAAGAGACATGATTACTACCTCCATCACCCCACACATTCAATCTTACAGAAATATAAAGATTCTTTAAGATGCATATCGGGACTGAACCTTATAGCAGCTTAATTTTGTTTATAAAAGTTTAATTCTGTCCAGCGCCCATGGAAACTTAAATATTAGACAAAAGAACAAAAGAAGACATATTAAAAACAAGCAGAATACTCAGAAGCCTTGACAGAGTGGACAAGGAACGGCTGTTCAGTAAGCTAGACAAGAATGCACAAAGGCACAGCTAGAGGTTAGAGGGATATCCATTAACCCTTAAACGGTCCAAAGAAATCGACGCTCAAATTCGTAGTGCTACAAAAGTAGATCTACTTTTTTTTTACATATTTTCAAATATAACAAAAAAAAATGTAGATAAAAGTTTTTTTACACGTTTTCAAATGTAAAACAAAAAAGATCTACATTTTTTTATATACTTTCAGATGTTAAAAAAACGTATATATACGTTTGGACCATTTAAGGGTTAAATCCCTATATATCTCTTTGATTAAGTTTTTGTAGGGCAATGGAATTTAATTTCATGCATTTTTAGAACATAAGACTGGAGGAGCACTGCAGCAGGCCTACTGGTCCATTCACTCAAAAATGCTGAGTGATTTTAATCATTTCTCGGTGAAATTTCAAAATTGCTTAAAATCACTCCAAGGGTATTAATTTTCAGCTAATTACGAATATGCAGTTAAAAAGATAAACACCAGATCATTTTACCATGATATGAAGTCCTATTTCCTTTGTAATTTCATCTTGAGAAGTCCTGTTAGAGCAAGTCAACCTTCTCACCAAAACTATTATAAAATTCAATGAAAGCTGTGTATAGAGACATATAATATAAAATTCTGACACGATGGTAGAGGAAATGCTGTATAATGCGACTATTAGCAGCGTTTCGCCCACACAGTGGGTCAAGCTACAAACAGATCAGATGTGCTTGTGACGATCATTTTGTGATGATAAAGTCCCATTGTGTGGGAGAAACGTTGTCAATAAAGGAATGCATTATTCTGCATTTGTCTCTTTCTCGAAAGTTATATTTATACGAGAGGCAGCGCTGTATGAGTTTAGTACTTAGTTATGACTATAATAATGCGATACATGATATTCTCGAGTTTAAGGTTAGTAACTGATCCAACAAACAATTCCATCACTCTTATTTCCCAGTTTTGGTGAAAAATTTTATTCACCTAAAAACCGCTGGACTGTTGGCAGTGTTACTCCTGTGACTAGACAAATATTTACTTGGTTTTGTGGTATTAATTCCACCTTCCAGACCTTTGTTGCACTCTTGGGTTGAGTACCCGAGTTCTTATTCTTCTAAAATACTTTCCTCAGAGTTGCTGCACTAAACTACCACGTATACAGATGACCTAACTCACTGTAATAGGCAAAATTAAAATGTGTTTTCCTACAGAGGATCACATTCCTTCAGAGTCTGGGTCAGAGCAAGAGTCACAGTTTGCACATAGCTTAGTTTTTTATAAGCATCTATGACCACCTGTAACATTCCTTACCTTTTCCAGCTCAACGATACCATCGACGACGCAGCAGATTGTGGCGAGGGCTCTGAGTGCGTCAACGCGACACAGACGTAGCCGAGGCTCCAGACACACAGCCAGAAGGCCGCGCACACCACCAAGGCGAGCTATGAGGCGGCAGATGTGACCACCATCCACACCAAGCGCCGATAATTGTGATACCACAGCCAACACTTCGGATATGCTCCTCGACTCCTCCAGGGCTCGTACCACCATCTGTCGAACATTTAAACTAACTCTTACTTACAGGTGATGAGCCCTCCATCAAATGTTGAAGAATGAGACACTTATGCAACATATGGGAATCTTTATTGAGGAAACATTTCACATATGTTGCATGAGTGTCTCATTCTTCAATTTGTCTGTTTTTTTTTAACTATTAATCACACCTGATTAATAGTACAACTGAGGTGTTGTATGATTAAGAACCCAGAGGCAAAAAAAAAAAATCATACATCTTCTTGCAAATAAAATACCACCTCCACACATACCAAATTGTTAAAAAAAACTTCTCTATACAATCGTACAGCGCTTGCTTGGAAGGCTCAGATGTGCAGGACTGATGCTAGACAAAGGTGCAGGATTATGACATGCTCCGGTGAAGGTACCCCGTGGCCTGGTGGCTAAAGCTCTCGCTTCACAAGGCGAGGGTCTGTCTTCGATTCCCAGCGAGGGTAGACACACTGGGCGTGTTTCTTTATACCGGTTGTCTACGTTCACCCATCAGTAAAATGGGTACCTGAGTGTTAGTCGACTGGTGTGGGTCGCATCCTGTCACAATGACCTAATTTGCCCGAAATGCTTTGCATAACAAGCGGCTTTCTATATAGTACTATGTCATTGATGTCAGCTAGGCCTGTAAACCATGTACATGTACTTGTTGTAAATAAGATATTAATATTATTATTTAAGGAACTGAAGCTACCCTCTCTTAAATCAAACTCGTTCATCTTCGGTTTCTTAGGAATTGTACCATTCCCCCCCTGTCATGTAGGGGGGTAATGATTAGGGGAATATGGGGGTAAGAGGAGGGAGTTAGTAGGTAGGGGACATGCAGGCGAAGTGGTAGGAGTGAGATGATTAGCGGAGGTCGGTAGGTAATGTGAGGTCACTGGTGACTACACCTTCACCTCTCATTACTCTACCCGCCACACTACTCACCCTCTCACTACTTTAACTAAACATAAATAATGGAAATAAGAATAAATAACGGGGACAGTGAATATTACTATTCTATTCAAACACAGTTTATTATTTAGTCCTTGTACAATATATTTGGGAACAGGAGTACATCATTGGTTTAGATAAATGGGATGGTATGTATAAGCAGTGAGACAGGGAACACAATCAACTTGACGAAAATGAATATAACTTACAAATAGTACAGAGGACAGTTCACTACATAGGCCCCAAGACCTACACAGCACGAGTACTGCTCCAAGCCAGTACTCTGCCCAATGTCTCCAAGAGTCTCCTCCAGAGACTTCAGCAGCCTTCTCCCGAGCCCTGCACCCCAGCAGCAGCTCCGCTCGAAGTCTCTGCTCAGGAGCTCTGCACCCCAGCAGCAGCTCCGCTCGAATCTCCTGATCATGCTCTTCCTTGGGCTTTTATGGTGGTCCAAGCACCCTCCACAACCACGTGTACGACCTGACACCTAGGTCTGACGCCGTCTAAAACAAAAGACCTCAGACGTGGGCGTGGCTACAGACGTTTGCCAAGGCAAGGTGTGACCATATAATTGGTTAAATTAGGTCTCCCCAGGGACCTCACAAGCCCAGCTGAACTACATCACACCCCCCCCCCTCGAAAATTATAGCAATTCCCTATCATTATTACAATAATAAGGAGGAGGGGCACTAAGAGTACCACCGACCTGCAGTGATTCCATGTACTTTGATCACTAGATGTAGCTGAAGTATCACCTAGCCCACTCTAGCCATTTTTATTAGCGGTGCCAACAGTGCCACCTATCCCCTGGCACTTGTCACTTACCCTGATCTCCCTGCTCAACATGAGGTCGACCAGCTTGGTGAAGGCATGGCCCAGCGCCGTCACCACCTGCACCACTTGGCGGGTCGTGTCGTGGTCGTGATGGTCGTTGCTGCACACCACCTGCAGTCGTTCACAGACCTGCTGGATCACTTTGCTCTGACGACCCAGCGACGACTGTAGAAACGACACACAAGCACGTAAATACAAATAATTGCTGTCAAAACATACGCGCGTGTGCACACACACACACACACACACACACACACACACACACACACACACACACACACACACACACACACACACACTCTGTACATGGTGTACGTCAGGCCCACACTGGAGTATGCAGCACCAGTTTGGAATCCACACCGGGTCAAGCACGTTAAGAAATTAGAGAAAGTGCAAAGGTTTGCAACAGGATTAGTTCCAGAGCTAAGGGGAATGTCCTACGAAGAAAGGTTAAGGGGAATCGGCCTCACAACACTGGAGGACAGGAGGGTTAGGAGAGACATACAAAATACTAAGTGGAATAGACAAGGTGGACAGAGACAGGATGTTCCAGAGAGGGGACACAGAAACAAGGGGTCACAATTGGAAGTTGAAGACTCACATGAATCAAAGGTATGTTAGGAAGCGTTTCTTCAGTTATAGAGTGGTCAGGAAGTGAAACAGTCTGGCGAGTGATGTAGTGGAGGCAGGAACCATACATAGCTTTAAGACGAGGTGTGATAAAGCTCATGGAGGAGGGAGAGAGAGGACCTAGCAGCGTTCATTGAAAAGGCGGCACCTGGAGCTGAGTCTCGACCCTTTCAACCTCAATTAGGTGATTACACACACACACAATATACATACATACATTATATATAATATATATATATATATATATATATATATATATATATATATATATTATATATATATATATATATATATATATATATATGCAAAACAATCGCAGACAGGCGATCTTAATGCAAGACAAGCCGCAGGGGCTGGAAATCTTTAGCTCAAGTACTTTCACACTTCTCAGTGCGTCATTAGGAGCTGTGCAATATTGCAAGGGAATAAACAGGAGAAATAGGGTAAGTTTTTTCAGAGTATGGTAGCGCGGTGGCACTAGCCGATATATGACTGAGGGAGGGAGGCCCAGCGGAATGCCAACCACACACTGGTCCCCCCCCACACGCCACCCCATATGGGGTTGGGTGGCGTAGGTACCACGGTTTGCAGAATGCATGAGGTAAAATAACTAGGTGATAGTTAATAGAAAGCCCTATGCTTCTAACCGCTGCGAATAGGTCATGTGACGTAAGAAGTTACATTATAGTAGTGGATCATTTACATGTAGAATGCAGCTAATGTGTAGAACCTTCTAACTAATGAAAAAGATGGAATAAATCCTTCATTTTGCCGACCGGTAATACCCGATGTCGCGAAATGTTCTAGAATATTCAGGAAATACTCTCAGTGTCAATTAATATGCCTGTGTGAATTCTCCTTTTCAGGCTTTTCTTTCATATAATAACAAGGCAATTCCTAATTTTCTTCTTTTTAACATCATTTCTATTAATCTTATCCACTATCATCCGCTATCATTATCATTACAATATTACTAACAACCTAATTCAATAAATCGCTAAACAAATTGCAATCACCATGTTGCAATTAACTATGTTTACCTTGTACTGCTGTACTTAGACGGGTTAGGACCTCAATAGGTCGCTCTGCCTCTCTTTTGGGCTATCCTAGAATGATCGCATATGTACATGAACCTACATGCGTAATTCCTTACTACTGATATTATATCACTCAGGTTGCAGTCTGTATTGCAGCACACCACCTAGACAACCTTTAGCATTACGATACCTGTATGCAGTAGTAGAGCTGGGTGGGTTATATCGACGGTTACGGCAGACCTAACTTGTTAAATATCGACGTTCGCGACGGACTTAATAAGATGTTATATATTATATCGACGTTCACGACGGGCGTACCATCATGTTCAGTTTGCAGACTCGGACCAAACGTAACCGAAACATCACGAAACCCCCCTGGCGTAAGGAAGAATCCTACACTTTTGTATAACATTGTTGTGTAAGGCTGTGCACAAGACTCTACTAAATAACTCTCTTGAGTTATATATGACATTCCTATCATGTTTCGAAATGGAGGACTCAATTATGTTTCTTTCCATGATGTAACTGTTGGGTACAATTATCTTGATGGCAGCCCACCCCGGTGGGTGTTAGCAAGAGGTGACATGATTAAAGATCGCATTCGACTCCTGGCCTGTCTTGAGTAATGGTGTTCGGATAATCTACTTTCTAGAGGTTTACTTGTCTGACCAATGTATGAGAGTGGGAAAAGGGAGCATGGGACCTTGTAGACACCACCCACATTATTAGGTGGTATGTTTAATAAATCTCTGTTTCACTGTCCCAGTGTTTTTGAAAGTCAGATTTATATTGTGTTTTAATAGTGCCTCACACAGGCAGACCAAACTGTCATTGCATGGCAAGACCAATACATTTTTCCTGTCGGGCATTTCCTTAGGCTTATTCCTGTAGAAAGTCTTCCTAGATGACAGTAGAGCCTTCTCAACAAAATCCCTGGGGTATCTCAGTGTTGTGGCTATGTTAAATATCTTGTTGGTTTCATATTCTAAATACTCAGGACTGCAGATATACAAAGTTCTCAAGAACATTGCAAGGGTAACATTCCTTTTAACCTTAGATTCATGATTGGAATAATAATGAATGTATGATGACACATTGGTGGTCTTCCTGTAAACTGTAAATGTGAATCTTCTGTCAATGCGATGGATTAAAACGCATAGAAAGGGTAGAGTGTTATCTCTTTCATACTCTATTGTGAACTTGATAGAAGGTACCAGACCACTGAGTCTAGGTAGGAGCTCATCAATGTTGTGATCTCTAGGCAAAAGGCAAAACACATCATCTATGAATCTGAACCACTTAGCATTATTTGGGAGGAGACATACATGATTATATTCTCCTGGAAAATCCTAGAGGGACTAGTACCAAACTTGCACACGAAAATCATTCTCTCCGAAAGCAAAAGACTCGGCAGACGATGCAACATCCCCCCTATGAAAAGCAGGGATGTCACTAGCACGCTAAGAGACAACACAATAAATGTCAGGGGCCCAAGACTGTTCAACTGCCCCCCAGCATACATAAGGGGGATTACCAATAGATCCCTGGCTGTCTTCAAGCAGGCACTGGACAGGCACCTAAAGTCGGTACCTGACCAGCCGGGCTATGGCTCGTACGTTGGATTGCGTGCAGCCAGCAGTAACAGAATGGTTGATCAGGCCCTTACCCACCATGAGGCCTGGTTACAGAACGGGCCGCGGGGGCGTTGACCCCGGAACTCTCTCCAGGTAAACTGCAGGTAAGTAGTCTAGTCTAGTAGAATTACATAAACAGGTTACTGAGTAAGGGGCTGAGGGGATTTCCCATAGCCATGCCCTGTTTTTGAGCATAGTACTTGCCTTCAAGCACAAACTTGCAATCCATAACACAAAGTTCAATCAGTTCAATAATTATATTCGTGGGGTAGGGCAAGGAGAAGTTTTCTAGTTCCTCTTCAAGGTAGGTAAGCAAGTCAGGGACAGCGACTCGGGTAAACACAGCTGTGACATCAAAACTCACATAGGTAAAGGTAAAGTCGTGTGAAACATTTAATTTCTGGAGCGTTTAATAAGGTCAACATTATTTTTAATATGCGCTTCCAAGATCCTACCAACCATGGGAGTTAAATGTTTAACCGACCATTTAGGTAGTTTATATGCTGCTTCGGGATGTTTCCGTTATGGTCGACCTGAGTCTGCAAACTGAACATTATGGTACGCCCGTCATGAACAACGATATTATACATAACATCTTGTTAAGGCTGTCGCGAACGTCGATATCTAACATGCTAGGTCTGCCGTGACCGTCGATATAACACACTCAGCTACTACTGCAGACAGGTATCGTAATGCTACAGGTGGTCTAGGAGATGTGCTGCAATACAGGCTGCATCCTGAGTGATATAACAGTCGTAAGGAAGTAATCATGGGGGTTCATTTAGGTATGGGTGCACAAGTGCGATCATCCTAGGATAGCCCAAAAGAGGCAAAGTGACATAATGAGGTACTAACCCGTCTAGGTACAGTGACACAAGATACACAGAGTTGATGGCAATATGGTGATTGCAACTAGTTTATTGGTTTACTGCATTAGGTTGTTAGTAATATTATAATGATGATAAATTAGACACATGTGCAACTCTTGGGTATCTTTATTGAGGAAACGTTTCGCCACACAGTGACTTCATCAGTCCATACAAAGGAGAATCTTGAAGAACAGGAGGAGAATGAGGTAATCAGTCCCTCAACCTTGAGTCGATGTTGTCAGTCCATCAATATTGAATAGAATACGGCATACGTGCGGAGAAGGAGCTTATAAACCGTTGGTAGGAGAGGTGCAGCAGTCATAGGTGGTGTCACATTTGTTCAATGTGGAAGTAGGTCGTGCCCAAGAATTAGGCAAGCGAAGAATTCCCAAGTATTAAGATCCCAAGAAGTTGCAGTGTCTGACAGGTTTGTAGATGAATGGTTCAGAGAACCGACATGTTGATAAATTAGACACATGTGCAACTCTTGGGTAATTTATTGAGGAAACGTTTCGCCACACAGTGGCTTCATCAGTCCATACAAAGGAGAATCTTGAACAGGAGGAGAATGAGAAAATCAGTCCCTCAACCTTGAGTCGATGTGGTCAGTCCATCAATCTTGAATAGAATACGGCATACGTGCGGAGAAGGAGCTTATAAACCGTTGGTAGGAAAGGTGCAGCCTCTGGTTGGCATTCCGCTGGGCCTCCCTCCCTCAGTCATATATTTGCTGGTGCCACCGCGGTACCATACTCTGAAAAAACTTACCCTATTTCTCCTGTTGTTGCCCTTGCAATATTGCACAGCTGATGACGCACTGAGAAGTGTGACAGTACTTAAATTAAAGATTTCCCCCCCTGTGGATTGTCTTGCAGTGTTAAGATCGCCTGTCTGCGTTTGTTTTGCATGCATATATATATATATATATAATATATATATATATATATATATATATATATATATATATATATTTTATATATGTCGTGCCGAATATG